AACCCTAAATTCCTTTTATTTGTGAAAGCTAATTTCTCCTCCTTCATCCTTACATGGCTTCCTCATTTGCAAGCTTTCCTTTGACTTCTAACATGTTCCCACATTTGTTCTCGATTAAATAGGACTCTACCAACTTCATAATATAGAAAAGTCAAACGTACTAGGCAAAGAACCCATGCTTAATTGGTTACCGACAAACGATTTGCAATGCTACGTTCTAGGCTCAATTCTGACCAAGGGTAGGGGCCTTCTCCCCACTGACTCGCCCAAAAAAAAAGTCAAACATTCAAACCAACATGGGCTAAGACTGATGGGATACCTTTATGGAAACTTTTATCTCCTCAAAACCACATTGATAAACAGATATTTTGTTCCACCACAGAGAATTTTGTGGTTCGTGCATCCCAAAGAATTTTCATGATACATCAAAACAATCATTCCATGGGATTTTAATATAGTGAAAGGACTTTGTGATCAGTTAGCGACCAGTGATCATGAGGTCAGCAATGATGATAAAATACCCTACCTACTTGGTGACATGTTTATCACATTAGTCATGTCCAGACCACCCACACTGGCTTCGATGAACTTTACCCTCTTTTACAGCAACATGAAGCTTTGTTTAAGAAAAACCAGTTGAAACTGAAAGAAGATGCTCATGATGTCTTAAACATCAACTGTTAAAACTCCAATATGGCTACTAGAGACGTGGAAGAGGAAGAAAAATTCATTGTCATGAGCCTAGCAGATTCAATACATCCATGCAGCATTATGGAAATAAAAAATGTGCTGGTTATAACAATCTGCAACAAGGGTATACCAGTACCCAACCAACCAGCGCCAACCAGCCCATCTCATGTCAGCTTTGAGGAAAAACAAATCACATTGCCTCCCAGTGTTACCATAGATATGATGCATGCATTCCAAATATTGCTGCATTGACACGCCCAATTGCAAATCCAAATATATTGCAGCATCGAATGCCTTCTTTAGTACCACCAGATGTTTCTTGGACTATGGATCCAGAAGCTGCAAATCATATGACATCTGATGCGGGTAAGTTTATTTCCTTATATACATATGTTGGTAAAGGGAAAGACGTTGCAGGGGATGGCACTCAACTCCCCATCACTGGCATTGACAATGTCGTCGTCTCCTCATCTTTGGGATCTTTTTCTTTGCCTAACACTTTTTTGGTTCCAAGAATAAAACAAAATCTTATGTTTCATAACTATCTAATGATCTAGTGCTTCTTGATATTTACTCCTAACTCTGTGCTCCTAAAAGATCTTCACATGAAGACAACATGCCCTTATGGAACACAAAAAGGGAATCTATACTTTATTGAGAAACCTTCATCATCAAGAAGTTGCATCAAGGATGGTCATAGTCAAGAAATGAGGTCGTCTTCTCTCTTTCCAGTTAAGCCATCTTCAGCTTTCTTTCCTGATAAAGCTTACTGTTCACATGGCACAAGCTACTTGCCCATTGTGGGCCTTGAGAGTGTACAAAATTAAGTTTGATTTCATTTTTTTTCTTTTTTTTTTATATGTTAACAGTGGGAATGGAGGGCAGGACGTTATGTTGCGACATCCGCCCCCCTAACCACCAGTGCCCCACCCCATTCCCAAAGATTACGTTTGATTTCATTGTATTCTATTAGTAAAAAGATTCAAGTTTTAAGGTCCAGCTGACAGCTTGGCAAACATTGCGAGCTTCCTTTCATATTAATAATAAAAGAGCTAATTTTCCTTTAGAGTTAGTACAGACTGATGTTTAGGACCCTTCCCCTGTGGAATCTAAATTTACGTTTGATTTCATTTTTTTTCTATTTTTTTTACATGTTAACAGTGGGAATGGAGGGCAGGATGTTATGTTGTGACATCCGCCCCACTAACCACCTATGCCCCACCCCATTCCCAAAGATTACATTTGATTTCATCGTATTCTATTAATAAAAAGATTCAAGTTTTAAGGTCCAGCAGACAGCTTGGCAAATCCTTTCATATTAATAATAAAAGAGCTAATTTTCCTTAAGAGTTAGTACAGACTGATGCTTAGGACCCTTCCCCTGTGGAATCGAAAACTTCATTCTAACTATTTGTTCACTGATGATTACAGTAGATTCACTTGGATCTTCTTCTTAAAGCAAAAAACCAATGTTTTGATGTCTTTGTTAAATTTCAATTTATTTTAAGTCCTAAACGCCATATCACTCGATTCCGAAATGGTGGATGAGTGGAGCATACATCTGACAAATTCAGAGACTTCCTTTCCAACAATAGAATTAAATAAGAGCTTTCCTATCCTCACACACCCTAACAAAATTGTACAGTGGGAAGAAAGCAAGAACATATAAAGAGGCAGCTATTAGAGTTCCCAAAACTATGCGGAGTGAGGCTTCTCACACTGTCGTACCTGTTACTTATTGGTTACCAACCATAAACATGAGTCGAAAGTCTCTATACTTTATCCATGGAGGATGCCTGGATTATAACTTGCTATGACGCTATTGTTGAGTCCGTGTCAATGGATCAATGGGATAAATTGATGACAAAATCTGAAATGTGTCTATTTATAAGCTATACCAATATGCACAAGAGGATATTGTTGTTATGTATCTTCCCCCAAAACTTCTAAAAATATGAAGGGAAGGCATTCCGGTTGCTGTCGAAGAACCCAACATTGATCGTTGAGCCCTATTGCTAACAAATATAATTTCAGCTTGTCACATGGTGAACTAGCAGCTATTAGAAGTCGCTTATTTGAGGAAGATCAAAGTACAGCATATGAAAAGCATAACAAAGAGTTGATAGTCTAACCAAGACGAAAGAGTAGGCAGAAGGGAGTAGCCCATGAAAGACATCCCAAAATTTGAAATTGTACATCAAGAAGTAGAGACCAACACCGAAGAGCCTGATAACTCCCTCAACACTCAAAAACGATCAAATCAAGGATGTAGTATGTCACAGTCCATTGATGTTGGGATCAAAATCAACTCATAAGATCAGCCCGCACTAGGCATTCCATAACAAGTTGGGTAAGTTATGGCTCTTCCTATTGAACACCAAGTTTTCTTGACAGAAATTCTAAAAGAGTATGAGCCCGGTTCATATGAAGTAGTAGGTGAAGAACGCCAAATGAATAGAGCAGCGAATGAGGAGATTCAAGCACTACATAAATGTAGAAAGTGGGTGATAGTTGCAAGATTAAAGACAAAAACATTGTGGGATAAAAATTGTGTATAAAATAATGTAATGTTGTGGGATCAAAATGAATGTATACAACAAAGTATAAGGCTTATGGTCCCATAGAGAGGTTCAAAGCAAGGACAGTTGCAAAGGGATACAATCAAGAACATGGATTAGATTATCATCATCATCTTCTTCCAAGTCTTATCCCAATTATTTGGAGTCGGCTACATGAATTTCGTCCCTCCATTCTTCTCATAGGTTCAGGATTCATGATAAGATGTGGCAAAGTTTTACATTGGCTGCCTACCTAATACAACCTATCTCCTTTACCCGGGCTTGGGACAGGTTAAGAGAAAGTTTAAGGACTTCACCCTTAGTAGACCATTTAGTCCCATTGAGAAAATGGGTATGATTAGAGTTATGTTTGCCTCTTACACTAGTCCATGAAAGACATCCCAAGTATGGAAACCAATTGACATGACATACAAGGACAGACTTATAAATAGGACATTCATATTTGGAACATGGTTACTGGGATCTCGCAACTAAGGTGGCGATCTCACTCTACAATCACAATCTGGCATTCCTTAATCAGGATCTCCATTGGATCTCGATCCCTAATATTAGAAATCTGAATCCTTAGTTTTAGAAATCTTATGCCAAACTTACTAAAACTACATAATAATGATAGCATAGTCATAAACTACATAATAATTCTACAGTCACATCAATTTGCGCTTCATCAAAATACTATTGAATGATACTGAATTGCAGTTTTTAATTTTAAATATAATTTATATTTGTAAATTTTTTATTGTTAATACTGATATTATAGAGTGATTGCATCTTTTTAAAACTTCTATTAAAGTTTTTATCTAAAAAATATTATTTAATAAATTGCACAGAACACGCTCCCGATTGAGGGAACTTACTATATGTCTCGATCCATCGCTTCTGCTTCTGCCCCCGACCCTGCTCCTCCGGGAAGCTACTGTTTGGTTTTATTTATTTTGTACTCTTATGTAATATTTGATATTGCCATGGGCATATTTGCATTACTAACAATATAATGGTCTGTTTTGGATGATCCATTGCACGATTCAACCACTCCTCTTATGCACAACCTCTGGCTTCTTCTTTCTTTCACTACAAGGGCTGCCTTAATTTTCTTTTCCAACCCCTTTACCCAATTTATTTATGGGTAATAGGTGGCACTCTAACATATCCCATGAGTTTCTCTCTATCGCTGAAATATATCACTATATGTATAACTAGGGGAAGCCAATTGCCTAAAAGGAAATAAAAAATAGAAGAAATTATGGTTGTGCAGTTTTATTGGTCACAACATGGGAACCAATTTGCCAGATGGTCCTGACCACCAAGTTCAAACTGACAATTCCTGGTCAGAGACTTTCTCAAATGCTTGTGTCCGCAGATCATATTCCCAGGTTTCAGGTTTCACCATAGCCAAGTATTGACTTGGTGCTTCTATTGAAAAACATTACATGAAAATTTTCTACGACCGATCAAATTTGGCTAACTGATGTCCCTATAGACCAGTAGATAAAAATAATAAAAGTTACACGCACGTTACTACAAAACTAGAATTGAATGTCATAACGACATGTACACGCAGTTCTCTCCTTCTACCTATTGCTTAAACTTTGATTAGTGCAGAAAAATGCTTAATTAAAAACAGAAATGAACGAAAACTGCCACTAATTGAAGACTACATGCAGCCAAAAAATTGAAGCTACGAAAACCAAAATTCTTCAGCAACATCCACAAGTAACCGTTTACTTTTACCTCTGTGATATATGGTTTGGACCACTTCTCCCACATATCAAGTGTCAGCTGGCCACCCCATGAATCAAATATTTGAAAAACAATATAGTCAGTTACTGCCTGTGTAAGATGACAGAGGAGACCCTTCAATACATGTGGTGCAGTGTGGCACATGCCTTTAATAGTTGTATATGTATGAATTGTACAACCTTCTACAATGTATGTAGCAATCGTCCATGGTGCACCCACAAAACCCAGGACTGCTGCTCCACTTCCTACCTAGGAATAAATGTTAAAGGTCATTGCCACACAAAATAAATATTCACCGAATCAGAACTTACAAACTTAAGCAGGAACAACAAGGTAAGGAGCGTGCTTCAAAGTGCAAGCAGTTACACTGCCAAAACCCACTGAAATTGGTAAATTGTGGCAAAAAATAAAATAGGGTTCTTGTCCTAAACAAACTGATATGCATTCTGTTTGTGGTAAATATACATGGTTTTAATCATTCACACCTCTTTGTTTTTAAGTTTTGAGCCAACCCCAAATAGTTGGGAAAAGGTTCTGATGATGATGATATTTTTAAGTTTTGGATGCATTATCTAATTGATATCTGACTTTCACAGTTTCAATCTCCAAGTAGAAAACAATTTCTAAAACATCAAGCTCAGCCAAAAATCCAACCACATGTAAAATATTTTCACATGTCCATCACAATACAACTCTGCATCCATAATATTGAAGCTTGAATGCTTCAAACTGCAAATGAAAGTCAAACATTTACATGTCATAGTATTCAAATGTGGAAAATGGAACTATTACTACATGGCAGTGTCAAAAAATCCGGAGTATGGCACATGAAAATCAGTCAAACTTAACAGACATCATCCTTAAGGAGTGTACAATTCTAGATATGATGCGACCAAACCAGATATTTACATAACCATGAAAAGGACATCAAATATAAAGCCAAACCATAGAAAAGCATTTATTATCCATTGCAGGCCACCATGGCTACTAAAATGAGTTCGAGGTTGGCTAAGGTTAGTCCATTTCATTTATCAAATGAAGAGAAATCGAGGCAATGCCATGCATGTGATTTCCAATTTGAGTTAGACAACATCGTTTGAAGGAGAGAGGTTTGCAGCCCAGACCTCTTTCTCCAGCATGGCATATATCTCATCAATAGGTTAAAACCTGATTGAATATCCAAAAGAAAACAAATCCACCACTAACACAACCAATAAAAAGAAAGATGTACATGTTAAAGGGTAACCATGCGGTGTACAAAATGTAAATGTAAGAGAAAGTGGTTTAATTAAGAAATATCAAGTTCAGCTGTGGTACAGCATAATTGTAAGAATAGTTGGTCTAGTAAAATTGTCTATGCTCTCTCATTCAAAAACCTTCATAAGGGAGAGAGATGAATGCATAGAATTTTACAGATCCTCAAGAAGAAAAAGACATCTCTCATTGAGATTCCTCGTCATTTAAGACCTAGATCAAATTTAACATGGCAAAAGAGCAGGCTTAATGCTGACGTCAGACATTAAAGAGAATGCAAAAGCAAAGTTGAAAAACCAAAAAACCGTTTTCTTTGAGGGGCATGACACAAATGTAGGAAAAACAACAAATTTCTTTGAAACAGGAGAATTAGGGCACAATTCATGGTAAGTATACAGGATTTTAGACTGCACTATCAAATATTTTGGACCAATTTTCATTGGGTTCCCATTGCAACTTGCATGCACTATTATTGACTAGTTCGTACAACATGAATGGTAATATTCCTTTTTTCCTTCACTCTTAACTATCTCCATCAATTTACCTCAGTAGCAAAAAAGATGCATTTCTTTGAACAATCCTTCATCACTTCAGTGAATGGTGAAAGTAAGTTTTTCAGTAATTACATATGTATGTGTACACACATGATAAGATACATATTAGACATTCAAAAGGTGTGCACATCTAGGCTTGAACACTTGCAAACTTTTCGTGAACTTTCTGGCATTAATTTTGTAACTCCATCAAGCATTTTTATTTTCAAGCCAGTTTATTGATGGTATTACAGTCATTTCTTTGTTTTCGGGTTAGGGACGCTGGATGATGTAATTGTTCTACTCGTACTATCTCTCTCTCTCTCTCTCTCTCTCTCTCTCTCTCTCTCTCTCTCTCACACACACACACACACACACACACACACACACATGCCACATGCGCGTGCATGCACGCACACATACACACATGCACATCAACACAAAGAGGTTTCTATGGCCTATATCTTATGTAATATGATTTATATGGTCATCATAACCCTACGACAATGGAGTTATTAACTGTTCTGATGTGTTGGACAGAGAATAGGGATGTAAAATTCAATTAGTTGAATATATGTCAAAACCACTCCTTTTCATCACCATCCAACCCTTTTATTGCATGTCGATGAACTACATGATCATGGCTGTGACTATGAACTTTTCCTTCAATAATCTTGCTGAGTATCAATTGTGCTAAGATTTTTCAATTATACAATCATACATTTTCAGTTTCCATCTTTTGACCGATCTGTCATGATTCTCAACACCACGAGATCCCTGTGAGACATTTTCCATTGGCCAGATGGCCTTCATAACTCCACGACCATGAGGTTAACGTAAAACATTTTGTTCATTTAAGACAATGTAAAATAGAATAATACAATATTAAATAATATTGTACAAAATTGAGAATATTCATATTGCTAACTTTTGGGAAATTATGGCTACCCCCCCCTCCAAAATGAATTTTGTAGATATTCTACCCCCCAATACTTTTAGTATCACGCCCATAATCCAGCTACTGTTTTTCTTGCTTTTACCTTCTGGTCAAAAAGTAAATATTTTAAAGACGAAACTACCCTTCCCTTCCCTTACTCTATTGATTAAATCTCTCTCTCTCTCTACCCACTCTCTCTTTCTCTCTACCTACCCCTCTCTCTACCCAACCTCTCTCTCTGCCCAACATCAGTCTCTCTCTACCCACCCTCTCTCTCTCTCTCTACCCATCATCAGTCTCTCTCTCAACCATCAATCTCTCTCTCTCGCGTGTTGAAAAAATACAGTCCGGACCAGCTTTTGACTTTTGGAAATCTAGAAGCCTCATGAGAGGTCCAGCACACTGATGTGTCAGACCGAAGCAAAAAAAAAGCAATCTGACACCAAAGTATGCCAGACTGGCCACGAGGCTTCTAGAATTCCAAAAGCCAGAAGCCTGCATTTTTTTTTTGTTTGCTTCGGTCCAACACAAAAGTGTGTCGGATCGGTCACAAGCCTTCTAGATTTCCATAAGCTAGAGGCCGGTCCGGCACACTTTTGTGGTAGACTGCATTTTTTCAATGCACGTGCGCACGAGAGAGAGAGAGAGAGAGAGAGTAAGGGTAGAGAGAGAGGGCAGGTAGAGAGAGATTTAATGGGTACGGTAAGGAAGGGGAAGGGTATTTTAAGCTTTAAAATATTTACTTTTTGACTAGGGGGTAAAAGCAAGAAAAAATAGTGACTAGGTTATAGGTGTGATACTAAAGTATTGGGGGGCAGAATGTCTACAAATTTTATTTGGAGGGAGGGGTATCCATAATATTCCCTTAATTTTTTCTAAGGGGTGGGGAGCAGGGGGGGGGAAGGGGGGTATACATAATTTTCCCTTAATTTTTTCATTCTCATTGTCTATTCAGCTTACATAGATTTTGTTAACTGATCAAAGTTATATATATCTAAAGTTGAACATTTGCAAGCTTTCCGTAAGCTTTCTAGCATAATTTTGAAACTCCAAAACGTAATCCCCAACAATGAGTTTATTCCTTGATTTGGATTTGGTTAATGTAATTCTTTTGCTCATATAACTCTCTCACTCCTCCCTCTCTGTCACACACACACACACAATACTAAGCAATTTCCATAAATCATCATCTTCTATATCTATATCACCATATCCCCATAATGATGAGGTTATCAATTATCTTGGACAATGACAGATGGAGAGCAAGGATACAAATTCTTTTCAATTAGTTTAATACACAGTAAAAACCTATTCCCTTCCATTACAATCCAACCATTGACTGCATGGTGATGAACCACAGAATGGTGGTTGTGACTGACCATATAACTCACATAGTACTTTTTCTTTTGAAATCTTGGTTAACATTGATTGTGTTATGACTCTCTAGGTATGTAATACTATAGTTAGGGCTGGCAAGGGGCAAGGCCCGGGCCGGCTCAGCCCGGAGCTTGGGAAAGCCCGGACCGGATTCTGTCGGGCCTAGTGAGGCCCAGCCTGGAACTATGCCAGGTAAGGCCCGCCCGTTAAAAGCTCAGAAGCCCGACGCGACTCGTTAAGGCCCGGAATTATACTCAGAAGCCCGGCCCAGCCCATTAGGCTTATTGGGCCTGGCTCAGCCCAATTTAGAATTTTTTAAAAAATATATATATTTTTTGTTAAATCTCTCCAAACTTTTCTTGTAAGCCAAAAAAAAAAAAAAGCTAATTAGTTGGTCTTCTATTTACCTTCCATTGCTAATTATTTGGAGACTTATTGAAACACATCAACATGATGCTCCAAGGTACAAATAAACTCATATAGGAGACCACACAAAAGAAGAGGTTAGCCATCTTGCCTTGTGATTAGGGTCCAAGAACTTGTAAAATTTCTCAGAGATATTGTACACACTTTTAGAGAGAGAGATTTGTAGAGAGAAGACCTATGTTTTTAGAGAGAGAGAATTTTTAAATACTTTAGAGCGAGAGAGAAAGAAAGAGAATTTATGTAAGTCAGAGACATGTTATGGGTGGCTTCTAGAGAGAGAGATTCTTTATGTAAGTTAGAGAGAGAGATCGTTTATGTAAGTTAGAGAAAATTCTAGAATGAGAGAGAGAGAGTTTATGAGTGGTTTCCTTGAGTTCAAGAGATGTTTTACCATTGAAGAAATAAAAACAGAATGACATGCAACTAAGAAAATTGTTTATGTTAGAGAGAGAGGGGGGGAGAGAGGTTATATTTGGCTTTTCCCTGAGTTTTAGTGATATTTTATCAATGAAGAAATAAAAATCGAAAGGACATGCACCTACTTGGGAGAGAGAGAGAGAGAGGACATGCACCTACTCTGGAGAGAGAGAGAGATTTTGTGCATGAGCAACAAAGTGATCATGCAAACAACTCCATGGAATAGACGAAGATTATGTAGTCTATACTAATCTGTTGTAGATGCAGAGAGAGAACACATCCAACCAGCTTCAGTCTATCATTGTGTGTGTGAGAGAGAGAGAGAGAACATGCAGTTATTGTGTATCCAAGAGAGAGATTAAGAGACAATCTTATCAGAGCAGCCCGGCCAGGTGACCAGATCTCCGGCTTTTTTCAGCCCGGCCTGGCCCTGCCCGATAATAAACCCAAAATTGCTGGGCCAGGCCCGGCCTGCACCACGTTAACAGCCCATTAACAGCCCGCTGGAGGCTTGTTAGCCAGCCCAGCCCAGAAGCTCGAGGCCCGGCCCTGTCCATTGGCAGCCCTAACTATAGTGTAAGATTCCATCTTTGGAATGTCTCTCAAGATTTCCATTAACCACTCATGTGAGCATTTTCCATGGCTCATCTTTCCTCATTACCATAAGGTTACCATTAAGTAGAATCATATATCAGAGTAATTAAAAAAGAAAAATCATACCCAGTCCTTATGTGCCTAGAAAAAAAAAATTCTAATATTTGAAAGAGTTCATTCAATTCTTGGATATTCTCAATAGAAATAATAGAGAGAGATATAGTGACGTCCTATGATTGTGGATGTTTTGAATGGCAGTCGCATCTTTTTAACTCCTCTATATTGGATACCTTTTCCTTCTAGTTCCGTTATAATGAAAAAAACTACCTTAATCGATTCCCACAAAAAATATATATATATACATCTTGATCTCCCATTGTACCACCCAAAACTTACTAGGTTACCTACAGTAATCTCCATTAGCTATATTTAGGGCTACCAACGAGCCAAATTCAGGAGGGGCGATCTTGGGCCCGCTTCCCAACCGAAATTGTGAGGGAGAGGCCCAGCCTAAAATGTAGTTTTAGGTTGGGCCCGAGCACAACTTGTATCAAGAGAATTGAGGCCCGAGCCCAGCCAGGCCTGAAAAATCGGGTCAGGACGGGCGGCGATCAATATGCATCTAAAATATTATTTAATGAAATATATAAAAACACATTTCATCATCATCATCCGAGCCTTATCCCAACTATTTGGAGAAGCTACAAGAATCTAGTCCGTCATTCCACTCTATCAAGGGCCATACCCTCAGTCAAATCAGTCTACAAAAACACATATATACATACATACATGCATACATATATATAGTCAAATCACTCTACATAAACACATATATACATACATACATGCACCCATACATGCATCCATACATACATACATATATGGAAAAGTCATAAAAACACCTATAGGTGAAAATGAATAGCGTTTCGCCCCGCCACGGACTTGCTATGTCCGTGGCATTTTATTGAACGAACTCGCAACGGACGGCGTAATGTTTGTGACGCTTCCACGTGAATTTTTTACTGTCACGAACCTAGCATATTCGTGATGGTATCGCCACAGACATGCTAGGTCCGTGGCGGTCATTTTATCCACACCGTCCAATTTTTTCAGATGATGATGAGCCTAAAGGCGAAATCACTGTAGCATTTCGCCTATAGGCATTAAGTAGCCTCTTCCTATATATATACATATTCGAGCTAAGCCGAAATTGTTTCTCGCCAACCATCATTAACCAAAGCCCAGGCCATAGTCCGACCAGGGCCTGTTGCAGCTCTAGTTATATTATCTAAATGAATGTCATGCATCCTATCATTAAATGTAATTTAACATACGTATAATACATAGCTAGATATGATATCCTTTATGTTAAAAAAAAACATTCCACCTACAAGTAAGTTTTTAATAATGTTATTAAAAAAAAGAGTTTGCATAACTAAAAATATTTTAAAAAAATCTCACTCGTGGGTAATGTTTTTAATGTTATTTAAAAGAAAGAGTTTGCATAACTAAACATATTTTAAAATTGACAATTTTATTTTAAATTTTAATTAAATTTACAAATTCGAGTACTACTTTAAAGTTAAGGTGAAATTTTTTATTATAAACCTAAATGTGTCTTGCCTGTTGAGTAAAATTTGACTTTCAAAACTACAAGGGAAATAATTACTTGTTTTAACTTTGGTGACTAAACTTTATAATTTTCATATATTTTGATCATTTCTAACTAACATACGAGAAACTAATTAGAAATTTATTAGAAATAAAACTAGTTTCCCAATTTTTTAATACTCCTAAATATTTCATATTCTACACATAAATTATAGTGTATTTTAATTTTGTCTTTTTTTTCTGTACATCGGATTACGCTCATATTTGGTATGTATATACTTCTTGGCCTCATACACCTAAAAAATATTCAAAATGTAATTTAACAAAAATAAATTTACACAAATACCCTTAAATAATGTAGGGCTATTGTGGTCATTTACAATTTTAATGCGATGTATAGAAAAAGAGATAAAACTAAAATATAATTTCTTCTTTCAAAAAGAGGGACTTGAGTGAAAGGTATGAAATATATAGAAATATATTTCTAAATTCAAGAAATAAAATAGGATATTTCCGTATATTGCTCATTTAAACAAAAATGCTAATTGTAGATTTTTGTTAAATTCAAATTTTAAATATCATTATATCATGAACCAAAAAAAAGTATTAAAAATAAAACACTAACATTTTATGATTCAATATAGGTGATATTATAACTGCAAATGGTAAATCATGATTCACATTTTAACATTTTAATGACGAGAGCACTTGTTGCACTCCCTTTTTTTATTAGTACCCTTGATTTTAGGAACACTGGTAGCAATACTGACTCAACTACCAATTTGATATACTAAAGGCCTAGGTAGATAATTAAAAATATGAGTGACCCTATGTATCCCCTTTATGAATAAAAATAGTTACAATTGAAATTTTAGTTTATAAATTAAATATGGATGAAGTCCTTAACCAAGCCATAAGATGTCAAAGGTATTAAATTCTAATGGACACCACTGGATTAGTAACATGGAAAAATCAAATGACAATAATACACCATGATTGTTCAGGGTTAGCGACACAATTCAATTTTTTTCATTGTAAATCCTTCATCAATTTTCCCAAAGTAGAACAACCAATGGTATTATAGTCATTTGCTCAGGCTAATCAATTGAGTCCAATTTACCAAAATGACTTTGGTTATACAAGATTACCAACGCCGAATAGGGGTAATTTCAGTTTTCTTTTAAATAAAACTTAGAAGCAAATATTGTAGAGGTAAATAGTGAAATTGGTAAAACATTCTCTTAAAAATACCTACTTAGCTATCTTAAATTGGATCCTGAAATTTGAGACCAAGAAAATACTCCGAAATGATATTTCTATCTGAGGGGGTAACTGCAGAATGTGATCCTGCAGGAGCAAGCTATACTATGTTTTGCCCCTTATCCAATATTATATGATATATTAGTGCCTCTACTGTTCTCCCACAGGAGCATAAAGTCCACTTGCTCCCTTGGGTGAAAAAGCTACTTAAGGAAGATATTTTGGATCTAAATTCAGGATCCTAAAGAATCACCAGATGATTATTTTAATATCCTAAAAAGAAAAAGTTGGATTTTGTGTCTTTTAGTACTTAAACCTTGTTATCCAACAATTGAAGGGTCTACATTTAATTTTAGGACATTATTTCTTTCAAGTTGACAAAGAGTGAGTTAGAATGTTTTATTTATTTTTTGGAAAGTTGGTCACTAGGTTGTAGGTCCCCAAATTTAGGATCCTAAAAACACCCTTGATTGGTTTTCGCCTGAGAGAGAAAAGGGACAGTCTGATCTTACACACAAAATCATTTGAGATTATATATAAGGGGCTCTCTTTCCTTTATTCATTCTCTTTGTTTATTTTGCAACTTTTAGGATATTTTATTACAATTTATAAAAGTTTTATTTATTCACCAATTAGTTTTTTCCTCTTCTTAAACTCAAACTAGGGCGAGACACTCTAATCCGGACATCCTGCAGGGTCCAAGTGAAAAAGCTTAGGAACTAGTGGAGTCTCCCAGGTTCCCAAGGTTTCTTAGATAATTTAGTTGAAACTCAGTCGAGTGCGACTCACTGACTTGGCGAAGTCACCCTCTGACTCAGACTCAGACCCTGCCTGGTCCCAGGCCAAGTCCAAGTCCTAAAACACTGAGCAAAAGCTTCAAAAGTAAAATACCATAAGGGACTACTGAACATATATCATCAATATGTACATTATGAATAAATGATAACAATAATAATAATGATATAACATGCAGTTAAAAGGAGGAAAGAACCATATGCCTTTCCCTCCTAATTATAGGGGAGGAGGGGTGGGGGGAGCCTTGGGCAACATAATACAACTGTCAAATAATCGGACTAAGAACACAAAAGCAGCATCTCAAGAACTTTTCAATAATGGGTACCTTAACAACAGAAAGAATAACAGATGAGAAGGTGAACACCCAAGATATCATTATGTAATAACAACGTAATGCCTTCTTACATATATGTTGACATCAATAATGATACATAGATAATAACAATGACATTAACTTAAAGACACTGTTGACATCAACAACATTATTACTTCTTAAACTCAATTTGATGCTGGGTAATAACCATGGAGGGAAGAGTAATCAAGAAATCCTCACTTGCACAGAACAATCAAATGCCCAGAGTACCCAATCCACAAACCTAGAGTAATGAGATGAAGGGATGCAGTCATGCTAACAGATTATCAAGAAGTGACATACCAGTTTGCCACTCTACTACATGGATTAGATGCCAGAACTTTGGCTGCTCAAATACTCCTCCAATTCAGAGTGTGTATAATGTTTTCCGTACTTTATTCAAAAGTATATCACGTTTCTAAATTATGTGCACGCACTGCTAATAAAAAAAATCATGTTTATGAGTCAATATACTTCAATGATAAGGAAATCCAGTTCTTAATCACATTCAACTTTTCCTCTGAATTTTCTTTTTAGGAAGCATAAAATGTATGTAGATTGCTGATAGACAATGAATAATTTTAAAATAACTTACAAAGTTACCTCATTTCGCAAAATTCTTAGAGATTCCCCTACAAAATGTACTTTGTCCAACTCAATAGGATGCAGGGCCTTTAATCTTTCCTCGGAACGTATTGGGGAAGTAATAATTGGTCCCTTTACGTCCTCTACGTCAAATGGGACCCCAAATGCAGGTAAGGGAGTTCGTATATCTGAGAATATCATAACAGCATCAGGACGAAAGGCCTTCCATGGCTGCAAAGAGATTTCCACAATGAGATCAACTGTCTCAGACCGCACTCTAAAGGATGGGTATTTCTCTGCAAGCTTTCTGTAAACAGTCATATATCTTCCAGCTTGACGCATCATCCATGCAGGAGGCCAGCTGATAGGATCACCTCTTGCAGCCTGAACAATTAGAGAATCTGAAAGTCACATCACAAATCCATGTATAAAAACAATAATGCCTATCTCCCCTAAAACATTATGAACAAGGAAAGCAATTCCACCAAACTTTCGAAATTACTGAGCATGTACAAGGTCCTAGGATAAAATCCTATTGTTTTGTGCCGATCTCACATGAGTTTTGTACAATCAACAGTATATCTTCGCTATAATATAGAACTCTTTTTTTCGACTAGACACATGATCTTTTGTCGCCTCTTTGTATGCATATGTGTATGTTTCAAGATTATGTGAGTCGTCTGGCCTTCGAAACAATTGTGAGCAGGACAAACCAGATTGAACCATCAGAATGTCAGCATTTGTGGGGGGATTTGGTAAGTTTGTTAGTATTTTTTATATTTTTATGGAGCACCTAGGTTAGTTGCACCACTCCCCAAAATTTCAGGTCAAAAATGACTCATAAAAAAATTAAACTGAGAGAGAGCGCGCATACAGGATGATGTTCAGATTTTTAAGGCTGAATCTAAGTCATCCAGCTTATGCTCTTCCAGCCTAAACTATTTGCAAGTCAGCCAGCTTACAATATGTGTGTGACTGCCGTGCGTGATTGTACACAATCAGCCCAATTCCTTTAGTATTGGTGGTAAAAGACAGAGGTGAGTCCATTTGGACTTGCCGGAATTGCCCAGGCTTGGCACCCCACCGAGCCCATAAAGCCCAACATGGGGGCCTAACACATGCTATAGTACTTTGACAATTTCTTGTAGAAACTCCCCCAAGTTCTGCAAAACTCAGCAAATTTTGGAGTGATTGGATAAGTCACTCAAAACTTGTTGACTTCGATCAAATTAGAGATGTATAAAGGGGGAAGGAATCAACTCCCCTTTTTCCTTAATTTTTCGTCAAAGAGTCAACAAATTCAGGTAGATCATCACTAAAAGACTAATTTTTTGTTCTTCATCGAATCATAGGCATTTTTTCTCCTGAAATTCTTTAGCCTTGGGACTCTTCAACAAAGATAGGAGGTATAATAGCCACAGCCACACACAGCCACACACACACACACACACACACAGCCACACACACACACACACAGCCACACACACACACACATAGGGTGTTAGGGTGCTCATACTACGGAGTAAATTTTGGACACTTCTACCCTTGTTTTGTATATGGAGCATTTTTTTATTAAGGGTATTTTTGGTAATTAAGATGGGTGTGATGTCATTCACATGGGGTGTGACGTCACCCACATAGAACATTAAATGCCACTAGTGTACTCTATGTGGGTGATATCAACCCCATGTAAATGATGTCACACCCCTCTTAAGGACCAAAAATACCCCTACAAAAAAAAACTCCATGTACAAAACAAAGGTATATAAGTGTCCAAATTTGTTTAGTACAATGATAAATTACTCCTTAGTGTGAGCACCCTAACATAACTCATATAAATGTAAATATATATATATATATATATTTTACATGAAATAAATTAACCAAAATACCCCTGAAAAGTTTTGGGAGGTATTTTGATCATTGTTTTTAGCGAATAATTTTTTTTATATTTTTATTTGGTGCGCCTTGATGAGAAAAACACACACCTAAAATTTCAAGTGATTTGGATCTGTAGAAAAATAAATAAAATTCAAGTACTACCGAACATCTGTGATCGTCAGATCAATCCAGATTCAATCTAGGTCGTTGGGCTCATATGTTCATATGAGCTAGTGGACGAATCCCATCTTTTCCCATATATATATATATATATATATATATATAGTAAGAAAGAGTACGGTACACTACGTCGACACCGTACCGGAAGAACGTACCGACCGAAGTACGTACGTAGTACTCGTACGTAGTAGAGGAGGGAAGGAGACGAGACACA